TGGGCATGGCTCCCGCCATCTCGGGATGCTTTGGTGCCATCATCTTCATGCTCATCAAGCTCGTTGTCCACGTCCGCAAGAACCCGGTCCCTTGGGCCGTCTACACCTCGCCCTTCTTCTTCCTCATCGCCGGTACCGTCTGCACGCTTTCCATCGTCTACAAGGGATCTCCCAACCTGGGCTTGAACAAGAAGCCCTCTTGGTACGTTGCCGCCGTCACCATGGGAACTGGCGGTGGTCTCGCTGTCATGGCCGCTCTCTTCTTCGTCCCCTTCGTCCACGCGAAGGTTATCAAGAAGGACTACACCATCAAGTGGTACCACTTCATTCAGGGCCCCCTTCTGTTTAAGCGCCCCGCTCCCGCCGACGCTGAGCAAGCCAAGGTTCCCAACTACGCCGTCGTCCAGGAGGACGAGGAGGACGAGCAGCTTCCCCGCCACAACGAGTCTTCCCAGGCCTCCGACTCTGGCGACGAGCCTCTCAAGGAGAGCAAGGAGACCTCCATTCCCCACGAGAAGTCTTTGGCCGCCGCCGAGATTGGTCAGGGACCTTCCTACAAGCAGCTCCAGGCTGAAGGTGAGGCCAAGCTGCATGCAAAGCTCCTCAAGAAGCGTGGTCCTCTCGGCTGGGCCATGCGCCTCCTCCGCGACAACCCCATGGGCCCCGGCCAAATCTACGAGTTCCACAACATGAAGATTATCCTCAAGCGCATTCCCGCCATGATCACTGTCGGTGCTCTCTACGGTCTCCACTACGACATCCACGCTGCCCAGACTGGTGTTGCTGGTACTCCCGAGGGTGAGCGCATGAAGCGTGTGTACGGCGCCGCCAAGAAGTACCCCAACGAGGTCGAGCACACCTACTCTTTCGTCCAGATCATCACTGCCTGCACTGCCTCTTTCGCCCACGGTGCCAACGATATCGGTAACTCCGTCGGTCCCTGGGCTGTCATCTACTCTGCCTGGAGCACTGGTAACGCTGCTGCCGCCAAGGCTCCCGTCCCCGTATGGCAGCTTGCTGTCCTCTCTGCCACTATCTCTCTCGGTCTCATCACCTACGGTTACAACATCATGAAGGGTAAGCTACGGATTCAAGCGCTGTGTTCGAATAATTCACTAACAAGAAGCAGTCATGGGCAACAAGATCACCTACCACTCCCCCAGTCGTGGCAGCTCCATGGAGATGGGTGCCGCCATCACCGTCCTCGTCTTCTCCCAGTTTTCCCTGCCAGTCTCCACCTCCATGTGCATTACTGGAGCCACCGTCGGTGTTGGTCTTTGCAACGGCACCCTCAAGGCCGTCAACTTCCAGCGTGTCGGCCTCTTGGTCTTCTCCTGGATCATGACCATCCCCGTTGCTGGCACCCTTGGTGGTGTCCTCATGGGTCTTTTCCTCAACGCTCCTCACTTCTAAACGCACTATACCCATTCCCAACTATAGGGAATATTTTTACTTGACTCATGTGTCGCCGCAACGTTTTACTAGATTTAATGTACATCAAAAAGGGGACTTGGCATAGCATAGACAGGATGGCAGTATGTCGCTAGCAATGAAACAGAAGAATAATGACAAAGAATCGTCACATTGACAACGGCCAAGTGCTTGGCGAATTGAACGTGAAGAAGTGATATATGCAATCCCCCTTCTCCGGTGATGGATCCGGTCATGATCCACCGCACACGGTGCTAGTGCTACTACTACGCGGGCCGTTCCACGGCACTTCGCTCACTCCGGTGCCCTTGAATGAACCGTAGATGGCTGTCTTGGTGAAGCCAGGTGCAATGGTCGCTTATTTATTTTGGATAGAAATAGAATCAGCCAAGAAATACAAAGATATCGTTGGCTATTGAGAAAGCGTCGATGTTTGGGTACTCCTTCGATTGACTTGAAACATTGGCACCGCAGCCCATGCTACTAAAGAAGCACCGGGAGCATCGTGGTGCACATCATCCGGAATGATATCTTAATCAAGATAGCACAAGCTTGGCAAACTTAGATTCGGACCGTTGCAACTAACCGCAGAGCTGTCAGTAGCAATTTGAATTGCAATTGGACGTTGGATGGTTCTTGTTCGGAGGCATTGGGCAGCGCCAAGCCTTCATCGTGGCTATGCCAGTGTCACGGCTTCACACCGTTACACCTGCCAGCTGAAGTTGCCAAGCTCTTGCATCAGACTGCCAAGAACATCAAAGATTTGGCTTCTGAGGGATTCTTCTCTCGGCGGTATGCGGTAGTTGACGCAATTGGCATTTGATCGCGTGATCTATGCCTCCTCGGGAGAGAGCACCTCTTGGCACGATATTACCACGACGAGTGTACCCTGCGTCAAGGGTTAAGGACACACGCGACGTTTATTTGTCACCAGTGGGCTGTCACGAAGTCAGTACAATTCATTTTGCCATTGATTTAAGTATATCTCTACTCCAAGTGTAAAAGCTAGAACATGACAATAAACAATGATGGGAGAAGGCTCATGTAGCTCCGGTACTGGCGCCTCACCTTGTTTCGTGTCTGTAGAGTCGCCTCTGTATCTTTTGAAATTCTACAGTCTCTAACCGGGGAGCATCCTATCTTCCCTGTCAAACGAATACAAAATTAAAATGTCAATGGCGACAAGCGTCTCAGGTTGCCAGTGACGCACTCCTAGTGGCCATGTCTTGGTGCGATTTTGAACATTGCATGTCGTTGTGTTCTGGTGGCTCAGTGGCATTCATCAGGGCAGTCGTTGCATTTATTGAGTCAAAGACAGATGTATCCCGTATAAAAATGATTCGATTGAATCAGCTCCAGTAAAATATTTCCTTCACCTGCCGTTGACTATGTCAAGTGTCAAAAGACTCGCCGCGCTGTTGAGGTCGAGACTTTGCTGACATAATAATTCGTATTCGATACGGTGCTTTTGATACTGATCGCACCCTTTCCGCGATCCACAATCTGGTAAATACTCCGCAACGAAGACGTTTCGAGAAGCTGATTGGGACCCCCATTGAGAATCAGGCAAGACCAATGCGTATTGATCGGGAGGCTCGAGCTCTTCGACGGAATTGTCAGTTTTCGCCGGCGGCCAGCAAGCGTATAAAGATGGCCGACGTTGACAACAGGCCGCGGAATCTGTTGCTCCAGGCTGTCGCTCTTTCATCTCTTGATTCACTCACTTGACAATTAAAACCAACTTTTCGTCGATCTCTGATTGTTCTCATACCTTTGCCCGAACTTCCTTCCAAAACCTGCCTTACGGTCTTATTCTGCCGACCACGCCAAGCTCCACACGTGGCACGCATCCATACTACCAGAATCCTTCTTCTGCCAAAGCATCATGGCGCAACGAGAGTGGAACAGCAGTCTCATGGATTGTTCCCCATGCGGCACTTGCATGATGGCCACGTGGTTGCCATGCTTGGGTCAGTAGACTTCAACGTACTTTGGGTCCATCAATCTAATCATTATGTACTGACGGAAACCCTGGTGCGCAGTTTTCGGAAAGACGTCCGAACGCATGAGAGATCCCGACCTGACAAACTACTCTCCTGTCAATGGAGAGTGTTTTATGATATCCGCTCTAGGCTCTATTGGATTTGGTTGGTTGTGAGTAATGCCCCATCCCCAGACTCCTCCCGTTAGATTTGCGGGTTTCCACATGCCAAACAAGCCTTGACCAGCTGCTAACTTCTCCTTTCCAAATGAAAGATACCTCATGAGCAAGCGAACCGATATCCGTAAGCAGTTTGGCATCGACGGCAGCGAGTGTGGCGACTGCTGTACGTCGTACTGGTGCCCTTGCTGCGTCCTGATTCAGCACGAGAATGAGGTGATCGGCCGAACCCAATACGCGCCTGTTACTGAAGGCTACCAGTCTCAGGGAGACAGTATGAAAATGCAAGGAATTTAAATGGTTTCTGCGAGACGTTCAGATCGACTGAGGCACTTGGATACTGGATCATCAGTACAAAGCCTCGGCGGGGTTCCGGCGGGGTACGTGCATCTAGGGGGTTGAATGCCTGCTTATCATCAGGGTGAATAGTCAGTTCCGGGAGGGAGTAATGAGTTGGTTTGATAAAGAACTAGAATAATAGAGGGCCGCAAAGTCTTTTCGTTGAGGACGATCGTGGTTGGCTGGGTGTGTTAGTGATGGACCCAGGCCGTGACGTATTTTCGTATTAATACGAAAATCTCTCACGCTTCATTCGTTTACGCAGCTCTGCCCCCCGGAAGAATGCGCTAGGCGCCTAGGCTCCAGCACGACCCGCCGCAGACGAATACTACAGACATGAGCATCTCGCGGTACTTTCTCCAATGCGTGAAGAGTTGCTTCTGAACATAAATACATCTTTCTCTTCTCTTCTCCAGCTCAGCTGGAGTTTTTCAAACCGGATGGCCTGGTCGATGGCTCCGAGTCCGTGTATCTGAGTTGTCAATTGCTTCATCCCACAGTCACCGCTAGGTATTCCTGAGCTTCGTCGACATTCTTAACGCGCCATCTGTACGGAGCCAACAAACTCATTGGGTCCAGTCCTCTTTGAAACGAGGGACAGATAAACTAGTAATATGACTAGAATCTAAAGTTCTGCCCTGTCTTGAGAGGCAGCTAGTGAACCAACTTACAATGCAGCAAAAGGATACATCGCTGGGGGAGTCACCGTGGCCGCACTTCTTCAACAAAAACGAAGTCACATTTGTTAGTGGAGGAGTCACCCACTGAGCGCGAGGTTCGAGGTTCGATTGCGGCCAACCGCCGCCTCCACAGCGGGGACCACCCTGTTTGGCATGTTTGGCACCACATGTGGCAGTGCCGTTCAGGGGAAGCTATAGGCATGTCGAGCCTTATTTAGCGGCGCCAGCCGCCGCTGCTTTGCCATGGTTTTTTATCAACCGCCATCTTTCTCCTTGCCTGCTGCCCACCAGCGCAGTAAGTGTCGTTCTTCCATGTCAATACGAACTTGAGAAATCCTTGCAATATTTAGTAGTTAAAATGAGCGAAACCAGCGGCTCAAACCCAAAACATGGCGATCCGGGCTGCACATGCACGACATGCCACGTCGCGAAGAGGAGATCCCACAAAAAATCACGAAATGGCTGCAAAAGTTGTAAAAGAAGAAGGATCAAGGTAAGCACACATCCTCCACGAAAGGGGATCTTTTCTTTACCATCTTCTGACCTTCACATACATGTAGTGTGACGAAGTCAAACCTAGATGCGGGCAGTGCTTGAAAGCACTCATTACTTGCGAGTTCGCGCTCGTCGCAACTCAACCGGACTCTCATTCAATACCAGAAATATCCCCCGAAGCAAATACTGCTCTCCAGCCGAGGAAAAGGGGCCGCCCTCGCAAGAACTGGGACCCCGTACTTCAAGGGCCAAGTCCTCCATACTCTAGTGCTGCCGAGTCAGAATTGCCGGATATCATCAGCTTGGGGTCGACGCCCTGCGACTTGCCTCTCACTGTGGACTGCCCGCCAACATTACCAAATCCGATCTGGATGTGGACGGTGGATGATATGGAACTGCAGCATCACTACATGACTTCAGATGATCTCTGTCCTGGTGATTTTTGTCTCTGGCGAGAAAAGGTACCACGCCTTGCGTTCAGCAATCACTGCGTCCTGCATTTGCTGCTAGCAGTGTCTGCGTTACACCTAGCGCGACAAAGGTCTGATGAAGCAGCTCGTTTTGAATTAATTGCTGATGGGCATTATTCCATTGGTCTTCGCCAAATCATGGATATTCTACCCAACTTGAACACAGAAAATGCCGGGGCGCTGTACATAGCCTCAACACTGGTCTGCTCGTATAGTTTTGCACAACGGCCAAGCCCAGGTCATCTTCTCATTATATCCGATGGCGCAGAGGTAGCATGGTTTGAACTTTTGCGGGGAGTTAGGATGGTTGTGGAAACGATTGGTTTCCATGCCATATTCGCCGGTGTCCTCGGACCAATGCCGACAGAGCAACCGGAGGAGGAGCCACCCGCAGAGAAGATGACAGAGAGACTTGTCGAGTGGGAACCAGCTGTACGCAGGATCTCCGACCTAATAGCTGCGACTAATGACCAGAACTCACGGATTTACGAGAAGGTGGTAACCGACCTATCCGAATGCTGTGCGAAAACATTTGGCACCGCGCAAAAGCCACGACATGCCTTTGATGGAAAGATGGAAATTATCATTGCGTGGGTTTATCGCATGGAGGACGAGTTTATAGAATGTCTCAAGGAGAAGAAACACGTTGCGCTTCTGATATTGGCGCATTTCGTTGTTCTCCTCAAGACACTGGAGTGGCTATGGTACATGGATGGCTGGGCCAGTCACATTCTTCATGGGGTCGCTTTGTACTTGGGTCCAGAGTTTGCAGACTTTCTGCGGTGGCCAAGGGAGGAAATAGAGAGGTTGAATGAGGAAAAGAGACTGAGAGCATCATCATAATACAATAATACCAATTTGGTTGCATGATCGGATGCTCTACGTGCAGCTGCAGGCTGTCATCACAACAGATATCATCCCACCACGTAATAGATTTACATCTCAGTGAATGAAGAGCAACAAAGAATATGTCATGATATGCCATTCTGTGGTACAAGTTGTTCTAGGGATGAAATTGCGTTTTCCGTACAAGATGTAATACCCGAAGAACGATTATACGTCACACGGTAAACCCAAATAGCTGCGAAATTCGCACGCATGCAGAAATCATTTCGTTGTTTCCTGCTCGTTGTGAAAGTCACCATCGCCACTCCAGCAAACATGCATAATATGATCGAGATGTGACAGGTCGGAAAGGAAGTCACAACATTTTGACTATTCCCGCCTTGCCCGATTGAGTGCAATATATGACGGACCAATCATGCCCAGAATTTGGTTCAGCTTCGCCCGAAATCTAATTACGCAACTGAATTCTTCACCGAAACCTTGGAATTTAGTTGGGGGCCGGCTCCGCCACCTTGGCACATCATCCAGTTCAGCTACTGTCAGCCCTGCTTGCAAGTAAGAGGCAGCAGTCATTTGTTATGGTAGTAAGCCCAGATCCTTCATATACATTCAGATAGCATACCATTCCAGTAAGGGGCATGGTGTCTCGTTTCTTCGCCCGGAAATGAGGCACTTGGAGCTGTGATAGATAGGCCTGCGGTGTTATCTCTTGATGAGTCCCAATTTTCTATGACAAAGCCGGGTGTTTATCGTCATCACCGAACATACGGAGCTGTTCACGATGAATAGAATAACCTCTCTTAGGTACCACACCGTGACCGACCTATCTTTGTGTGTCAACCACACCGCTGATTATGTGTCACTCTGCTGAAAGTCTTCCATGTCCAATTTCCCTTGCCTCTGCACTCCATGAATCCGCTTCAAGAATGGCCCCCTCGGCCCCCAAAACAATCGGTCTTCTTGGCCGGGTGTGCACATCTGCGCCACATGACCGCTGAACAGCATCCAGGCACCGATCAATACCGAGATTCCCTTGCGCCACGGGAGCATCTTGTGTTCTATATCACTGGGCTGACAGCACCCTGATCCCATTCCAAGAGACCACCAAACAATCGTTTTTCCTGGTCTTGCACATTCTGATTGGCTGTTCTATTCTGGGACATCAATATAATTAGGCTTTGTTCTGGTGCTTGTTGGTGCAACTACCCGACCACAGCCCACTGACCTTTGAAAATCTGAATAATAGCCAGAGTCACAGCAAGCAGATCTATTCGCCAGAACAACATTTTGTCAACGATAGACTATCCTGAGCATGAAGTCGATGAAAGTTGCCATCATCGGCGCCGGCGCCTCTGGTCTCGTTACTGCCAAGTACCTAAGCCAGGCCAAGCAATATTTCGGCGTGCCTGAGATTGAAATTCGGATCTTCGAGCGGGAGAAAAGTATAGGAGGCGTGTACAGGCACAAGGTGTACGAGGATGCAGAAGTATGCATATGATTTATCACCTTGAACTCCTTTTCAAGCTTTGGTTCATTCTGTTGAAATGCCCGTCATCGGAGAGAGTATTATGATCACTCGCACAATAGGCTGACTTGGAGACAGATGGTTTCCTCCAAGTACCTGACGGCATTTTCGGACTTCAGGGTCGCCAAAGAACTTCCGGATTTTCTTCCGATGGAAGAGTATGTGCGCTATCTTGAAGCGTACTGCACCAAGTTCGGACTCTGGGACTTGATCGAGACCCAGACTGAGATTGTTCAAGTGTTACGACTTACTCAGGGGAGCCACAGAGTCTTCTACAAGCGTCATGTCGGCAAAAGCGCTGGCGGTGATGACGAAGCCAGACCTGAAGAGTTGTCTTGGGACTGTGACGCAGTCGCTATCTGTTCTGGTTTGAACAATATCCCGTCGATACCTGCTATCGAAGGCTTGGAAAACGTGTCGTCTGTACTCCACTCTTCGGAGGTCAAGAGCAGACGTCAATTCGGCGAAAACACGTCAGTGATGATTCTGGGAGCGGGCGAGACTGCAATGGATTTGGCTCACTTGGCCGTCACCTCGAACGCTAGGGAGGTGGTGATGTGCCACAAAGATGGGTTTTACTGCGCCAAGAAGGTATGTCAACCAGAAGCACAACTGTTCGCTTGGCTTACTTTGCCAGGTACTGCCAATCCCGGTAGTGATGAGGGTTGTGAAACCAGCTCCTTATCAGAAGCCAGTAGACACGGCCATCGCCAGTATCCTAGATACAGCATACCTGCCAGAGAGACTACAGCATTCTCAACTTCCATGGTTCTTGTATGACAAGACCCTGAAGTTCCTTCATTTAATATCAGGGGGAACCCTCGCAGGCCCTGACCAATGGGTTGGCCAAATAGAAGGAGACCGAAACAACGCCGATTCCCGTGAGTTTACCGCAGCTGAAGCTCCTGACAACTTAGCTGACTGCAATAGTGTTTCTTGTCAAGTCAGATCGCGCACTCCCATATCTTAATGAAGGTCATCGCGCAACAGACCTTCTCTCCCGCATTCGAGCATTTGTAATGAATGTTGAGCTGAAGGATACCGGGGGAAGAAAGATTATGACCGCACCTTGGCCCATCTCGTTCACAAAATCTGGGACTGCAATCTTTCCCCGCAGTGAAAGACTCGACCAGAAGGAAGCGACTTCGAAGGTGTTGCGGCCGGACCTGCTTGTGCTCGCTACAGGATATGCTCGCCGCTTTGATTTCTTAGGGGAGGATTACCCGAAACCAGATGATTTGAACATTCGTGGCGTATGGAGACGTGGGGATGTGACAGCTGGGTTCATTGGCTTCGTACGGCCTGGGATAGGTAAGCCATCCTAGACTTCTCGTAGGTCCCGAAAAGATGCTTACTTGCATGTAGGTGCCATACCCCCGCTCGCAGAGTTGCAAGCACAGCTCTGGGTCTTCAATCTCCTTCGTCACAAGTATCCGCAGCAGATTCTCTCGCCTTCCGAGTACGCAGATTCCGTAGCTCACTACGAAGTTGACTATGCCCTCAAAGCACGAGGCGGCCATGACTTCTTCAAGGTCAAGCACGGAGTTGAGCAGGAATCGTACGCATACCAGCTTGCCCTCGATATGGGTGCCGCCCCAACGTTCACCTTCATGAGACGCCAGGGTTTCAAGGCATTCTTGACATGGGCCATGGGATCCAACTTCAACAGCAAGTTTCGTCTTGTAGGACCGTGGAAGTGGGAGAAGGGAGCTCTGGACATCATGCGCGGAGAGCTGTTCGATGTGGCGAAGCAGACCGGAGGCGGAGTGTGTAAGTCATCCTCACGGCCTCATCGCTCGTGTTGACCTCCTCACTAACTCATCGTTCGCTCAGTCTTCACCACCTACACATTGTTCCCGATAATTGTTCTTGGAGTTTTGACGATCGTTCTGCATATGATCGCTGGCGTTCTCCGGCTGATGGGCATGGAAGAAAGGGCGAAGGTTGTCTTGGGTTCCGGAAACGTTCCCAGACGCGAAGGCGATGATTGAGTTGGACCGAGCAATGACATGCTCCATCATGCTGGCGCTCGTAATTTGTGAAATAGCCCGGTATTAAACACGTATTCTTGATAAATGACATTGCATGTCCGTTTCGTGGCGGCGTCTGAAGTGAAGTGTGGCAGTTCGGATGATCGTAGGTGATGCCCAGGTAGCTTCAGGGGCTCTCACAAGGTTCCAGCGGCGCACTCACTAAAATTGCCCCGCGCGGGGTACCTGAGTGACGAGGACGAACTGCTGACTTTCGATTGGCCTCTGCTGATTTCCCCGATAACGATAAGCCCAATTGGCGCTTCACCCCAACCAACTTTTTTTTTCTTTTTTTTCCTTTTCGCAAAGGCTTCCGTCGGCTGAACCGCCAACACCACCACCTCGACTGGTGAACCTGCGTCGCAATCATGTACTCCCTCGTGAAGCCAAACCAATGGGTGTCCATCAAGCTTCTGTCGGAAGATACCAAGGTCTTGCAGATCGTCCCGAACACGTTCGTCCTCAGCTTTGCGCCTCTCCCGTGTCCGACCTCAGCTAATGGCCTCCAGGACCATCTCCCTGGGCAAACTCGGTTCCTTCCCGACAAACCTCGTAATTGACCGACCTTACCACCTCACCTACGAGATTCAAGACAAGCGCGAAGGCGAGTCTTACAGCAGACTACGAGTTGTTCCCCCGAGCGAGATCCACGCCGACGCCCTCGCCGACACGACCGCAGAGCCTGCCGAAGAGGATGGTGTCAACCTCGAGAACGTGATCGCCGCCCCAGACGGCGCCGAGTTTGCCGTCGTTGATAACGAGAGCGGCGATGTTGTCGCCCGATCCCGCCGCCAGATCATCGACGAAACTGCCCGTCAGACCTTGACCACCGAGGAGATTGAGCAGCTGAAGCAGGGGAACACCGATGCTGGCAAGGACATTATTGCGAAACTGCTCTTGTCGCATACCGCCATTGACCAGAAGACGTCGTTCTCCCTGGCCAAGTACAAGCTTTTGAAAACGAAGAAGTACATCCGGCGCTTCACGATACAGCCGCTGGACACCTTGACACTGGGCAAGTGGTTGTTGGAGGAGAAGGATGCCGGCAAGGTTCTTGAGATGAGAGAGGAGATGATGGGACTGCTGGGCTGCTGGGCTAACGTCCACTTCGGCGGGCTCCCTCCCACAGACAAGCCAGAAATGGTGACGGCCGACGGCTCCGGGATGCTTGACAAGTCGGAAATCTGTGGCCGGTGGCTGGTGGTGGACGACACTGCTGGTCTTGTTACCGCTGCTATGGCTGAGAGGATGGGGATCTTGCACCAGAGCGAAACTGAAGAGGAAGAGAACTCTGAGGAGAAGAAGGAGGGTGCCGACGCCGACGGAACTGCAGACAAGCCCACAGAGACCAGGACAAGTACGGAGCAGACGAGCGCAAATGCTGCCCCTGTGGACACTACGAAGCCTGACGAGGCTATGCCTGACGCGTCTGCGGTCAACAACGGAGAGGAGCAGAAGCAACAAGCTCCTCGCAAGAGACACCCGCCCCGTCGCGACGACTTCGAGTCTATCTTCGCTCCGACAAACACCCTTACCCTCATCCACCCCAACAGCCAACCGAACCTCGCCCTCCTCAAGTACTACAACTTCGACAGCACAAATCCGAACCCACCGCACCCCCTTCACCCCCTGGCCACCAATCTGCTTCCCATCTCCTGGCTGCAGTTGCTGGAGCCTGAGGAGGACGTCACATATTCCACGCCGCCCCCCGATGTGTCTGACGAGGTGCTTCACTCCTGGAAGGCTAACCGCCGAGGAAACTACCACCGCAAGCGTAGACGCTGGGCTCGCACCCGCTACATTGTCGACTCTACACGCGCGGGCGGCTTCTCCGGCCTCGTGATCGCTACCACGATGGACATTGTCTCCGTCTTGCGCCACACTCTGCCCCTCTTGGCCGGCGGAGCTCCAATTGCGATATACTCGCAGAGCATTGAGCCCTTGACCGAGCTCGCCGACTGCTTTAGCATCGCACGTCGTGCGGGTTGGTCGTCGAACCCCCCTGCCGAGGCGGTTGGCAAGTCTCTTCAGGAGCTGGAACGCTGGGAGGGCTCTGATGACTTCCCGATCAACCCGACTCTGCTCCTGGGCGCCAATGTGCAGACGAGTCGCGCGAAGCGCTGGCAGGTGCTCCCTGGGCGTACGCATCCGTTGATGATGGGTCGTGGCGGAGCGGAGGGCTACGTGTTTACAGGCTGGAAGGCGGTGCCAGCGGAGGGTAAGGTCGAGGCCCGCGGAAAGTTCAAGAGAAGAAAGACGGAGGCATAGAGGCACATGCTTCGAGGATGTGACAGTTACGTGGAGTACAGAATACACGCAACGCGGTGGATGCGGGGCGAACAGGGAAAACATGGTAGCTTGCATATAGATACCCTGGCATCTCCATTGAGGCTTTCAGAGCCGTATGAGAGTATAATGGCATCGTCTTTGGCCCGGTCGCTCTAAAGTAAACACGTAAAATGAGTTCTTCCCGATGGTCGTCATCCCCCTGGGACTTTTTGATATTGAACAGCCTCTTTACAGTGCCTTGCCCATGAACTTTCTCTTGGTGAAGCTCAGCCACCACTTGCTCGGCTTTCCATCGCCGCCCTCGTCAAAGACCCTCGCCAGTAAGCGCGCTGCCAGCTCCTGACGGACCTGGGACATGTACTGACGCAGCTGCTCGGCGTCTTGTCTGTCGCGGGGAGGCTCGTACATCTAGCGGTGAGTTGTCAGTGGATAAGCGGGAGTGGGCCATGTGAGCAGTGTATCGCACCTGGTTGAGGGGAAAGGCCGGGTCGCCCGGAATGGCAAAGTTGGTGTCGAGGGCGAGGTTCAGGACATCCTTGGTAGCATCGCGGACACCGGCGCTGGGCTTGATCTTGGTCAGGCAGTCACTGACGAACCAGATTCCGTAGACAAGCAGACGGTCGGCGGGGCCCTGGATCTCGAAGTTGCGGAAGAAGGTGTTTGCGCGGAAGAGGGCGAGGACCTCATCGAGGATGTCGTAGCTCTCGCTGTCCGGGTCGGGAGACTCGTTGGCGGGCAGAGGAGGGTTCGGGAAGGGGAGGGTGTAGGCAGGACCGCGGGTCTTTGTTCGGAGCGGCAGGAGAGGGAAGTTGCCTATTAATCGAGGGACATTGGGGTCGGCATTGAACATGGAGTTGTAGGCCTGGATGGGTGTATCGTCAGCTTCGGTTCATGCCCGGGGGTGAGCTCCAAGGAAGCTAGCAATCGATGGATGATGGGGGTAGCGGTGTCGTTTCATCCACCATGCTTGAGCTGAATGGGAGTTGGATGGTTATTAGACATACCGGCATTTTGACAGCTTCGTGACCAGGAAATTGGTCCGGTCGGGAATGAAGCTGGTCGTGATGGTTGGTTGGGCGCAATATGGGGAGACGTCAACTGAGGCACGAAGCAGCGGCCGATGGAGGAATGGTGGGGCTTGACTGACGTCCACCGCACCTCTCACTGCACCGCCGGCGGTGCATTGACCTCAGCTTCCTGCTCACTGCTTCAGCCATCAACCGTGGGGGAAGGTGGCGCAGCTGGGCAAATATCACGTGATACTGTAAGTCACGGGATCTATGCTTGATGATGACTCAGGCTGCTCCCTGTCAGCAGACGCCACACGGGCCTCCTCACGGGCCACCTCACGGGCCAAGGCACAGGCCACCATCGAAACGAGGGGGCTGGTGCCTGGGATCACATGACTTCGCTCATCCGGCGTGTCAGGTCGCTGGTGTTGACCAGGCCCGGCAGGGTGGCAAGTCGCGCCCTTTCGCTGCTCGTCCAGCAGTGCTTGCAGCGGAGCGGGGCGTGGCTGCAGGCGAAGCGGTGACAACGCTGTCACCGTTACCACCACCAACGAGGTCTCCTACCGTTGCAGAGGGCAAGTCTGGCCCATTTTCCGTTTTCGGGGGCGCTTTTGGCAGGCAGGCACCACTGGCACCCTCACCTCCAGGTGCTTCCTGCCATTCCCAGTTTTTTTTTCATCTGGATTAGTACCGCCCACAAACTGGAACAGCAAGAGCGATTGACGTGGTCGTGGTCAGTCGTGGTCACCATTGATTGTTATTTGACTCGCGCATCCCGCGTTTCAGCAGTCAGTCTTCTCCCACGATCAACCCTTTTCCCCTTCACTACAGTCCGCTTCCCTGTTATTCCACCTTCAGGCTTCAGCCCCCCATCAACCGCCTCAGCTCCACCAGCTCCGTCACACATCAAGCAGCGCATCGATCGCATCGCCTCTTTTCTCTTTCTCCCGCCCTCGCTCTCTCCGTCGTGCGCCCCCCTCTCCTCTCTGAACGAAGCACCACCCACCCCGGATTGCGAGAATTTCTTTTTCGCGGCGCCGGCTTCAAACGCATCGTCGATCTCAACAGATTTGCGACGCATACCGACGCTCCACTACTCAAATACCTTGGTCACGTCGCATACAAGACGGGTATTCTCCGACCATTTGCGGATCGACTCCTCTTTTCTCTTTCGCTTTCCCACTGCGACTCTCAAAAAAACCGCGTCGCGCACCCTGTTCCGCCGACTAAACCCCCGGCTTCTGCCCCGTCAATCACCCACCACCACCGTCCACAGTCGCGTCCAACGTGGGATCCCCCAAGAGGCACAGAGGGCCCCCAAGAGCCCCGAAAAGAACGAAAGGGAGTGCGCCACACACCGATGCTCATTTTAGAGTAAGACTATCCTTTCCATTGTTGTCGTCGCCGTCCTGTCCTCCTCGCCGCTGTTGTTCTTAACATCCCTTGCAATAACCCTCCTTTCTGCGTTTACTAGTATGCTAACAAGCCTAAAGATCAGTGTTCAATAGAAGCAGCTTCCTCGGACATTTGCGCAACCTCGCCGATTTACCCATCGCCCAGATGGATCTCCCCAGCAGCGCGCCGACCATTTCGACAATGTCGTCGCCAGAACCCATTCACGCCACCCCTCCCTCCTCAAGTCCCATTCCGACCATGACCGCGCCTGCGAAGCGCAAACGAACATGTCGCGTCTACAGTCCTGACCAAGGTTCCCTCTACGATCTCATGTGGGAACACGCCGGCATCTCTCTGTTCGTGCGCCCCATCTGCTGGACCGACTTGCACGTTCGCCTTCTCGATGCGCGATTCGTCGAGCTTCCTCCTTCCAATACTCCAGTTCCCCCTCAGTCACCGCGCGGCACCCCCGTCTCGCCCTCAAGATGCCATATGAAGCCTTCTCCAGCGGCAACAACCTTGAGCCGCGAGCTCACCAACATGCTGGCCCCTGGATCCAACAGAACCTTCTACACCAACTCGATACGCACCGTCATTTCCACCCTCTATCCCGGCAAGCTCTCCCGCGCCAGGACACAGCTCGACCTCCACCATTATTTTGGTGGTCTGGTCTATCGTGATACTTGCCGCGTGCAAGTGGCTTGGGACGCGACGCCGTCGCGTAGCGGCTCAATCGCCTCATTCGAATCAGCATCGACGCGTCCCGCCGAGTCTTTCGGTGTCCCTACAGGCACGAACGGCAGCAACGGAGCTAGCAGTGGAAATGCCAGCCAGCAACCGCCTTTCACTCAGCCAGTTCTGGCCTACATCGGCAAAGCGTCGGTTGCCGCAACACGGCGTAACATGTATCGCGTGATACCCGGCCCCAACCGTGCGTACAACGGACCAGTCGAGCGGTTGCAACAATTGCGATCCAAGATGTTCATCCCCCCCAACCCGAACCATGATCCTCTTTTGGTCGGTATCATTCTTGCCCTGGCGCAGCGGCGCTTCTATGGGGAGCCCAAGCCTACTGCGAATAAATGGTTTCCCTCGAAGCCCCTGTCTCTTGGGCTTGGAGAGCCAGAGTTCCACGACGTCACGGTTCACATCTTGACCAACGACAACGACGCATCCGAGTTCATTGTGTACAAGGGTGTGGTGACAGCGGAGCTGCTGCGCAAGTTCCACGAGCCAACCAAGAACCCCGGCGCCGGGGCTGGCAAGACGCTTGCTGAGAGGATGGGAGAGGCGGCCAACAAGGGCGGCGGTATTCGCATCGAGTACACCAGAGTGCCAGTCTGGCCAATTTTGGGACTCAAGGAGCGGCTGGGCAAGGTTCTTGGGCAAGACATTGTGGGACACTTCGACGAGGACAACATGGAGACATGGGAGGAAGAAGCGGAACAGAGCAACGACAAGCTCAAGCGACGCCGAGATCGCGAAGCCCTCGCCGAAGTGTTTAACGGCAGCTTCGAGGAAGAGGCACCCGACGGTATGCCTCTCAGTGGGAAACGGAGATGTTTAGTTGACGAGGAAAGCGGGCAGGTGGGAGTAGTCGTCTAGAGACATTGCATGGCGGCGATTTGATCTCTGCATAACGAAGCCACGAGGCGTTTAAAGATGGGGCATGGCATTTTCTCCAGTGCTGATGGTCAGGAACCGGTCGAAGATATGGACATTTGGGCTCATTCAGCAATCGGAGTTGTGGGAAAACAGTACAGCACATTGATGAGGGTTACGATACAAACTTGTGTTTGGGATAGACGGATGAAGAGGCATCGGGCATCCAGCTACGGCTAGCGTCATGGTGGTTTTGCTTTTCGAGACGTGCGCAGGCAGACGGGAGAAGAGGATTCGGTATCCTCCTGGAAGAAGTGCTCGGCCGCTTGGCATTCAGTAACAGAAACTTTGCGATGGCAGTCGAAAACACCCTTAGACAGGACAGCCGTGAATAACCTCGTGTGTTGTGTGCACTTACCTAACCAGAATCCATCGTACCGACATGCGCTTTCCCGTATGCGACATGGCGCCGGCCCCCCTTCAGGCAGTCGGCCTCTGCCTGCCTCCCACATGTCCCAAAAGGGCATTCGGCATCGTTGCCCCTCGGCTCTCGTGGACAAGGCTTTGGAGATGTCAGGATACGACGCAAATCGGCACAAATGCGCCTCGTGGGTCACGCAGTCTTCCCGACATGCATGGCCGCACTGTATAGCTCTCAACGGTGGTGTGTGAGCGCAGCCAGTCGCCTGTCAGATCTGCAAATCACAAGATGACAGCGCCGTCACCCACGCTAGGCGCTTTCTTATTCTTGGGGAGGCACACGATCAGCGGCCCGCCGATTGGACTTGACCCCTTCACGTGCTCGTCTTTCGCGACACCACTGCAGTTGAGCCTCACTCCCCGCCGCGCTTGCCCTTGGTAGCCGTGGCCAAATCAGCGGGCGGAAGGACCATTGCAACGCTGTCTCTACAAGACAATGTCTTGTGTGGCCGGGGAACCAGCGGCCCTGAGAAGGAGACCCCTCCTCGACCCACGACGACGATGTTTCTTCTGTTGGAGTACTTGGCCTTTTGCTTTGCTCAAATACGGCACGTTCCCCGTCCAAATCCAATATCTCGACATCTGTCTATCTCTAGCTACCCTTGCAACCTGCCGCCAGAATGAAGTCTTTCTCTATATTGATACTGGCATCTTTTGTGTTTCCGCCCTTGGTTGCGGCCAACTCCGAGAACCACAAACACAGTCCACGCGCTGCCCAGCCTGCCGTCGATACCGGGGCTGGCACTTTTCGTGGACGAACGTTTGGCTCTGTTGAGACGTTCGCCGGTATTCCCTACGCCAAGCCGCCTATCGGTCCGCTACGGCTGAAGCCCCCTCAGAGGCTCAACGGGTCTTTAGGGACGTTCGACGCGTCTGGTACCGCTGCCGCCTGTCCACAGTTTGTGCTCTCTACCGATAGTCGAAATATCATCCTCGATGCCCTCGGATCGCTGCTCACGCTTCCGATATTCCAGCCCATCACCGGCCAGGAAGACTGTCTGACGGTGACCGTCCAACGGCCAGCCGGAACCACACCAAACTCTAAGTTGCCCGTAATGTTCTGGATCTTTGGAGGAGGCTTCGAATTTGGATCGACAGCTTCTTATAACGGCGCTAGCTTTGTTCGCGATGCGATCGACTTGAAGCAGCCGTTCGTGTTTGTTGGGGTCAACTATCGTCTAGGAGGTTTCGGCTTTCTCCCCGGAAGAGAAATCCTCCAGGACGGCGCCGCGAATCTCGGGCTTCTGGATCAGAGGATGGCTTTGGAATGGCTCGCGACTAATATCGGTGCGTTCGGGGGTGATCCAGACAAAGTGACTATCTGGGGCGAATCGGCCGGCGCGATTTCGGTGTTCGATCAGATGGCTCTGTACGATGGCGATAACAAGTACAATGGACGACCGTTGTTTCGTGGAGCAATCATGAACTCGGGAATTGTTATCCCAGCAGACCCTGTTGATTGCCCCAAAGGGCAGCTTGTCTACGACACTGTGGCTCGAGCTGCTGGTTGTTCTGACTCTGTC